TTGGTGAAGATTAAAAAGCATTAAAATATAAAGCTCAAGGGAATAATTACACAAACCCTTAGTTGCATAATTATTCATACTACAGTAAACATTATTGATTTACATTTAAATTTAACATCTACTGTTCTTGGCACTACTGCAGGAGCTCTAATTAAACATTAATAGTCATTAAAAAGCATTTTGCCAACAAACATCTGGTAGTAATTTATGAGATAAACTCATGCAAAATCTTAATAGTTGATTAAAGAAATTTTGAGTACTAGATTTCATCTTGGCAACATATGTTTACTACCAGAAATCCTGGGTTTGATTTCTTTTTCAATGATGCCATGAGACCAGACAGCTAGACTGAAAAATGAACTGGGATTTCTCCTTGGCCAGGGCCATTCTACCAAATGCAAGTTAAAAGAAATGCAGTAGCTCCCCTAATAAGCGCAGGAAGAATGATCCTTTTGCCAGATCAATATTCAGGAATAAAAAACAAGATTTTTTTTTTTCTCACTTTGCATTGTAATAGTAAATGAGGCATATGTATAATTTTATGTCTTCTTTGAAAGCCACTAATCTACTGGTTTTAATGTGATTTCTTTATAGTTTAGAATTATCTATGTCTCTCAGTAACAGAAACGCTAAAGGAACTGAATGATAGATACTGTTATTGAAAAAAAAGTCATTTTAGTCTTATAGTTATTTTACATCACTTTATGATCACTTTGTTAAATATGCTATTGTCAACAAAAAAACCAAACATATACAGGTAGAAGAATCCACTGAATAAATGTAGCATGTCAAAGTAAAAAGTGTTCATCTATTTTTTTCTCTAGTCTTATGTTTTTATGTTTGTTAACTAAATTAGGAGATAATGCTGTTCTTTCAAAAATTAACGATTTGATACATTGACAGTTGTGATTTTTGATTTAGGAATGCACAAATCATTAACTTCAGCAAAAGAAAAATAAAACTGCATATTACCCATGGTAAACAGTAGACATTACAACACAGTAATGCTGCAGAAGGTATCCATAGGATACTGTATTGTGGTTATGACAAAAATCTCATAGAGAATGGAACTAAGAGTCACTGAGAATCTGTGTGCCTGTGAATTAAAGAAGCAGCTAAAAACAAGTGAGCATTTAATAACATTGAAAAGAGCTTGTCTGGGTCATCCTGGTTATATTTAAGATGTCTTTTATATGTAATAGTTTTATACAGATTGAAAACTTACTGCTTATTTTATGTGGTTTAGTAATTAAGTTATTAGATAGATGATGATGTTAACTTTGACCTATAAACATACAGAAACACAATTTTAAATCTATGCTATGCATGCGGTATGGAATCAGCATAACTTGATAGTCACTGAAGTCTCTGATAGTGTTGTAAATGATATAGTTTGCCATTGTAGATGTTCACAAGGAACTGTTCAACGTTTTAAGTAAATGTAGATCTGCTTTACGCTGTTATTTTTCAAGATGATGGAGGACAAAACAAACCTCTGGAATAGTTATAGCAGTTATAAAGCAGGACACATGCCAGTAGAATAATCCCAAGTAACAAACTGTAGGAAAACAAGTCCTAAAATGACAATTAAAAGCATGTTGAAGTATCATATACTTCCTAGAAAGGCACAAATGTGGGAAAAGGAAAGGAGAGGAGAGGAGAGGAGAGGAGAGGGAAGGGGAAGGGGAAGGGGAAAGGGAAGGCAAGGCAAGGCAAGGCAAGGCAAGGCAAGAGCAAATTATGCAGCTGATTATTGTACCCATTCATCTGTGGGTTGCTGGGGTACTGGGAGTGTAATTCAATATTGGACATTTGTTACTGTTTCAACTACATTGCAAAATGTATTGATTATCCATGTATAGCATGATTTCTTTTTATATCTAACATTTGTGCTCTTGGTAGTAGGATAGGATATTGCAACCATGGACTGTAGCAGACATTTTAGATAATGTACTTCATGATTTTAATCTGTGAAGAAATAATAATAAAAAATTGAAAAAGATCATAAAACTCTTATTAGTGTCATTCTAAAGAGATTATTATAACAGCATTATTTAACTAATATTACTTCAATAAATTTCATCTGAAGCATTTGCAAAAATTGTGTTAAGGATTGGATCTACAGTTACAAAAATAGATGTTTTCCTAGTAGTCTTAAATATTCTTTGTGCTTTATTATTTTAAACTATCTAAAAGAAGAATAAAATTGACTTAAATGTTTCTCTGTCTACTCCAAGCTTTTAAATAAAAGGTATTCATTTGGTGATAATCAGATATCTGAAATTTAGTTCAGTTGTGTAGGCACAGCCAACTATTACCAATTTAAGAGCAATATCCACATGAAACTGTCAGAAGTAGTACAATACCTCCAGCATACCCATGTCCTACTGGAAAGGCAGATAAATGGTGTCTAACCATTGAAATTGGTACAGAATACTTCTCAGCCAACTCAGGCAAATCTCTGTTAGGTCTGTACTCTCTTTGCATTTCTAGTTTCAGCCATTAAACGTGGGTCATTACTGTAGTAGGATATGTAGAGCTGTCTGTATATATGTGCCAACATGTGATCTAGGTATCCAAACTACCTTCTGGTGGTGATCTTCAGTCCAGTTGCTTTTAGGTGATCATCTTGATCCATTTGATATGCTCTACTGTATGTCCAAATTAGTCAGCCGACATGTTTACATGGTGACCAATCGGATGCTTTGAATTCCTCTGTTAAATAAGTTGAGTGAGTATGTGGGTGTCAATGATCTACAGGCTGATTTGGCCTGGTTCCATGACTAGCGGGGCTGAGGGATCTGCAGATCCACACCTCCAGAAAGGAGAATAAGGGAAAAAGGGTAGAGATGGGCCCGAAAACAAAACAGCAGCAACGATCTGAGAAGAAACAAACAAATTTACTAAATAAGATATTAGAATGCAAGATAACATGCAGTTATTATATATATATATACAACATATAATGCAAGATAACATACGGTATACTACAATATAATTAGAATTGAAGCTAGTAAATGAAATATAATGAGAGAAAGAGTGTCCAAAAGCCAAAAAGGCCTTACTCTGATACTGAGGCCAGATGTGCGACTGGGGTGAGCAGCAGGAGAGAGCCTGATGATTGAAAAGGGGAAAAGAGAGGTCAGGTGACCTTGCTAGAGGTTATATCTCCTTGCTGAATGTGAAGTCGTCTGGGGGATGTAGTTCTTCTCCTTTGGGACAGATACCCAGAACTGGAGCATTAACTCTTTAATTCCCAGTGCACTACATAATATTATGATGTGGAATACCAATAAACAAAAACTGTAGAGCAGTGGGATCCTTGGATGTAGAGTCCTAGCTTTAAGGAATTTGAGTCCTAACTTGGAGGAATTAGGTCAGAGGTTTTTCTATGGTATTTATCATGTATAAATGCTTGTAGAGAATTTCACTTTTTGAGTGAGGCTCATACATGTGTGTCATTATAGTGAAATTGGTGACAAATTGAGTATGTTTTCCCCCTGCACCAAGTAAACTACTGTTGGTAGTCACTACGTTGTTCTTTATTCATGCACGTGTTACAGGAATGAAAAAGACTGAGGTAGCAAAATCCTTCCACCTTTTTGAGGGTGATGTGAGTTCTGAAACAGAGTTAACGGATAATAGATATCAGAACAATAGAGTCAATGACATACTCTTACTCTGAATTAGAAGCATGTATATAATTCTTATCGGAGGAAACAATGCATAAAAAGTTTAAGCATATCAGTTAAATAATATGTCCTCTCTGTGATCTGTGTGATCTTTTCCCAAAAACTGCACTTGAAACCTTCTGGAGCCTGTGAGTGTTATTTCATAGACTGGAACAAGCTTTTTGTTGGAATATCAGACATTTATTCTTATGTATAGATACATAATAAAGAAGTGATAGCAAATCTTGGTCATTATAGTAAAGTTATTGCTTTAATAATTACCCTACATATTTTGATGCTCCTTGACTCTTCCTGCTTTTAACATCACTTGGTTTTAAGTATTGGTTGTACTTAATGCTTTTCCTCAACTTTATTTCTGTGAAGAGTTGCATTTAAAATACTGAAAAAATAGAAATAGATGAGAACTTGTAAAGGTGTCCAGGATACCAGATGTGTCATTTTCCCTTGAAGACCAGGCTATAGTCCCTCTTATAACACTGGTCCCTTTGCAGAACTGCATCTCATGCCCCATTCCTTCCACCCCAGTCTATCATTTTTGTCTTCTGTCATATACTGCTTCTGAAGGGAAATTCATTAATGCAAAATGTTAATATGAAGATAGCTACTTCAGTTTCAAATGAATGAAACTTACAGCCTGTTGAGATATTGAGGCTTTGAGAGCAATTCTGCATCTTCCATCACTTCGACAATAGTAATTGCCAGACTAATCAGCATTGTTTAAAAATATGTTCTCGTGTGTGCTTAGTACATCTCCTTTCTTATTCTTTCATCAAGAGGATGAGCTTTTTCATCTTTTAAAAGTTAAGTTTTAATGGAATGGAAGAGATGTTTCTATTGTTTAATGTTACTTTTGCCCATCCTTTTAGGGATAGAGATGTGATTTGAAGGAGAATGACTAAAAGCATTTCAGTATCATTGCAAGTTGCAGAATGTGTTGTGGGTTGGGAGATCTATTGTATGTATATATGTAGACAGTTACAGTAATGCTTCATTGTATTTAGCAGCTTAACAACACAGCTTACAATTGTTTCCTTTTATAATTGTTTAGACTCTGCTTAATTAATAATTCATTCTTCCAAGAAAATGGATTATTATTCCATTGTAATATTACTTGTAAGGTGTTTGTCTAAACGGAAAATGTAGTTTTCACAGTTTTTGTGTAGTTTATCTCCTCATAAATTCTAAGCGTCTTTGCAAAAATGCTTTCAGGATAAATGAAAAGTAAAAACAATCCTTGCGTGATTGCTTTAAGTTCTTGTGCTAATTTCTGATTACTTAAACCTTTTTTTTTTTTTTTTTTAATTACAGAAACCTTTGAAATGCTCAACAAACTGTCTGAGAATTACACAAGCACACTTTTCTGCAATGCATATAGAAACATGGCTGCTGAGGCTGAGGCTACTACACGTGTTCAGGAGTTTTTCACAGACGTTGCACTCTTTGTATTTGGCACAGACATCAGTACAGAGGAATTTGTCAACAGATTTTTTGACACCCTGTTCCCAATGGTCTACAATCACATGGTTAACCCCCGTCTGACTGATGTTACACTGGAATACTCACAGTGCCTCCAAATGGCAAGAAGAGATATCAGGCCCTTTGGTAACATTCCCAATAAAGTCATAAAACAAATGGGAATATCACTGTTACCCAGCCGGAATTTCCTGCAGGCTCTGAATTTGGGGATTGAAGTAATCAATACAGCAGACCATCTGCATTCCTCTAAAGACTGGAGCAGAGCTTTATTGAGAGTGCAATACTGTCCCCATTGCCAAGGGCTGACTTTGAGTAAGCCCTGTGTGGGCTACTGCCTCAGTGTCATCCGAGGCTGCTTAGCCTACCTGGCAGAAATTGACCTTCACTGGCAGGGATATATTCAGTCCTTGGAAGAGCTCTCGAGTGCTATGCTTGGAACATATGACATTGAGCATGTGCTTCTAAACTTTCACTCACTTGTTAATGATGCTCTCATGCAAGCTCGTGTCAATGGACCAGAATTAACTGAGCAGGTAAGAAGCTGTTGTTAGCCATGCTTGGTGCATACATGCCACCAAAAAGAGTCTCACTAAAAACTAATACTTGTTTGGCCATTTTTATAGCAATGCATATGTTTGTATCCAAATTCAGCTTTATTCAACAATGTATTTTTCCAACACTGCATTTTAATGTATTTTAATAATCTACATGAAGTTCTTATTTCACATTCTCTATTCATGAGTTTGGCATCAAGTACAGATTTCAACATTTTGAAATTATTTATAGTGAAGAATTTTCAAAATAAAAGAAGTTTAACCAGAGTTCTCTAAATATTTGAAGTAATATTGATTTTTTTGTTCTCATGAAGTCACAGCATTTTCAAAATTTTGGTAAAAGAAAATTTTGTTTCACAATCAAATGGAAACTTCAATTTCTTCACCCTTTTTGTTTAGAAGTACTTTGTATTCTTGCATGCAGATGTCACTGGCAGTGACATGCTCATTTTGGGGGAAATACAGGTCTGTTCATGCCTGTGTTCCTCTGGGGTCTGGCGTCAGCTGACATGTCAGTCATACTTAAAGGGGTACCACAACTTTCTTCCTTATTTGATTAGCTGAAGGGGAAACAGCTTCTTCTGCTAAGCAGCTGATACAAACTCCAGAACAACTTGACCTAGTATAACAGAGAATTCTTCATTTGTTATTGGGGCAAGATCTGCAGTCTGTTAAAATGGGTTTTTCCTCCTGCTTGCAGTCAGTGACTAATAGGGATATTGTCCTTTCCTAGGAATTTCCCATTTTATCTACTTGAGTCTCATGCTGCTGAACTTTATTAAGAGAAACTGTGAATTTTGAAAAGATTTTTCACTAACATTTTGACTCAGAGGTGGTTCACTGATGTCTGTCTAATTCCAGGGCTGCACATGCTTTTTAGGGATAGTCCCTGTTCCTCTCCAGATAGTTTATATTTTACCCTACAGTTTTCAGGTTCAAGCTAAGAAAAACAAGTGAATACTCAAAGCTTAAAGGTCCTCTTTCTTGTTTTTCATATTGGGTCACTTGGTATGAAAAGAGCTCCCTTCTTAAGCTTTAAATTTGAATTTTGAATAACGTACCATAATTGCCCCAGATATAATGACTCTTAAGACACTTGTGTTTTCAAAATGGAAGATTTCATTCTCCAAAATAATATGTTTCATTCAATTTTAATGAAAAATTAAATGGGTGAAGAGTTATATAGTCACTGTTCTGATTGATCTAAACCAAGATGCTTTGGTTTTATATTCCTAAAAATTTTATGCTTTCCTTCTTCCTTTTCTTTAGTAGACAGAAGGAACATTAAATGTTCTTATTTTGTGCCAATATATTTGTTGGAAGATCATCTGTTGAATTCTGTTCCAGTAAGATCTTCTTATATAGAATTATTTCCAAACATTAATAACTAAAAAATTCATCTTTCACCGTTTGCATCAAAGAGACATTTTTGACTATTCATAAACCCTTGTGGTATCCCTAACTTAATTTCTGTGTTATAGTTGATCAGTCTTTTCTCTCTTTCATTTGTAATTCAGTCAGTAAGACTGTGAGGCATTGATCCCTTGAAACACAGTGATCTAGTTGGTCAGTACTGATCTGCTGAGTATGGCTTCAGTGTAGTTCAGATTTGTCCACGCATTAGGCTGATTCTGACATGTAATAAATATAGTCTTTCAACTTCCGTAGGAAGAGGATAGGAATTCTGTTGAAATTGGCTATCAATATTTACTTACTTATTTATCTCCAGAGTGACTCATGATCTGCTGAAAACTTAGATAATGCATTAGTGATCCTGACACAGGAAAGATGATTATGAGCCAGCTCACAATGGCTTCCTTAGGCATTCAGCGGTCTCTGCATTTTTAAAACTGAATTTCATCACAATAAATAATTTTTTTTTTTTTTTTTTTTTTTTTTTTAGTTTCAAGGAAGCAAATAGAGAAATAAAAATGTTAAAATGCATGGAGATACACTATATGCATACGCAAATTCTAATGTAAGAATGTACATTGTATCCTGTTTGCTGATATATTTATTCATCTAGTTCTTCATAGAATCATATGTATGCTTGTAGATACAACTAAATGGGAAGTATTTCTTGCTAACATGTATGATCATCTGTATTCAAATCTAATGTACATTAAGTTGATCTGTGTGGTGTGAAAAGACCATTAATGCCTACATAACACAACAGCTTTCTATTCACTTTTCTGCTTAGGTCAGCAAAGCAGTGCCACATTGTCTACAGTTACAATCTGGCCTTGAACACCTCCAGGGAAGGGGCATCCACAACCTCTCTGGGCAGCCTGTTCCAGCACCTCACCACTCTCTCTGTAAAGAACTTCCCCCTGACATCCAACCCAAATCTCCCCTCCCTCAACTTAAAACCATTTCCCCTTGTCCTGCCATTATCTACCCTTTCAAGGAGTTGATTCCCCTCCTGTTTGTAGGCTCCCTTTAGGTATTGAAAGGCTGCAATGAGGTCACCCTGCAGCCTTCTTTTCTGCAGGCTGAACAAGCCCAGCTCCCTCAGCCTGTCTTCATAGGGGGGTGCTCCAGTCCCCTGATCATTTTTGTGGCTCTCCTCTGGACCCTCTCCAACAGCTTTCTGTCTTTCTTGTACTGGGGGCTCCACACTTGAATGCAGTACTTCAGGTGGGGCCTCACAAGAGCAGAGTAGAGGGGGACAATCACCTCCCTGTCCATGCTGGCCACCCTCTTTTGATGGAGCCCAGGATACCATTTTGCTTTCTGAGCTGCAAGGGCACACTGCTGGCTCATGTTAAGCTTTTCATTTATCAAGACCCCCAGGTCCATCTCTGCAGTGTCACCTCCATTCTGTTGTGTTAGATGTTGCATCTCAGTCATAAGGCAGAAGGAAAAAGAGTTTTTAGTGAGATTTCTGAAGTTCTGGTCTGGATGGATCCTTCTGTCATTTCTGGCATGTATAGATTAGTGGTAGAGTCTCATGTTTTGTTCCCCTTATGCATGGTTTAATAGCAGGTTTCCATGCCATGTAAGGGTAGGTTTCTCTGTCACTCACAGTGTGGTTCAATGGCAGCTTGAACCAGTCTCACCTGGGTTGCAGGTTCTGCTCTGGCACCGTGTTCAACATGTTTTTCCTTCCCTTTCCTCTGTGTGAATGGTGATTAGGCAGATGAAAGTTTACTTGGTGCAGGGGGAAGTCTGCCTTATCTCTGGTTTTGTTTCACTGCATGAGAACTCGTGCTATCATGCACTGGATAATGCAGCACGGGGGACCTGAGGGAAGGTGAAATGAGTTTGAGGCAAGAGCTGAAGGAAGAGGGGATGGGACCAGGAAATGAAAGAGCAAAAGAACAAGGCTTTGTAATTAAAATCTTTTCTCTAAATTAAACTTTTCATTAAAATATCATTCTTGAATGCCAAAAGATCAATGTTGTTTGAGATTATTGCTGAATAAAAGAGATGAAAAGAAATATTGATTAGTTGTTCATTATATATTCTAGGCACTCATGGTTTTTGGTATCTGGAGGAAAATTAAGTATGTGACCGTGACGTGGAAAACTCTATATGCATACAAAGATGTGGGAATCAGGAACATAACAGAAAAAAATAAAATTATGCAACAGATTCCGATATTTCCTTAATGTGGAAGTGATGAACTTACAATGAAATTTTCTACATTCTTGCATTTATTTTTGTACGTAATACCAAGCCTACAAAAGTTTGGAATGGGGTTTTTAAAAGCAGTGTGTGCTCACGATGTTCTAATCTCTGTGGACTTGTACCAGATAGCTTTTGAAATAGTTCGAGATAATGAAAATGACAAATTTTTTGAAGTTTTGTCTTTTCTTTTTTTTTCCCCCCATTTTAGTCTAATCCTGAAAGAAATTCAAAGTTATGTGTCTTCTGAAAATAGGCATGATTACATTGTATTGAAAGAGACTTTTGTCTGCTCTCTTTATTTGTTTTTTAAATGTCATTCATACTAGAAAAAAAAAAAACAACAACACATTTTTCTTGTATTATAGGATGCTGGCAGTAAGAAGGTAATACACTATATTTATATCTTTTCTTCCTTATTATTTTTGCTTGGAATGACTAGCTATAAACACATAAACAGCCCGAACTGCTGCAACAGTGACATGTTGAATTTCTTATTCCTATGACAAGAGCTATTCACAAACATTATCAATGAAATTCATTTTAATTTTTTCTGTTCCTGCTAGGGTCTGCTTTATGTAGCTACTTTTTATTGAAGCTTCTCTGATGAAAAATCACACAACCTTATTCAATACCATCCTAGAAAATGAACTGTCTGTTTAAGTGCATTAAACCAATTAATTCCAGAGATTTAAAAAAGCAATAGGAAGAAGGTGATGAAAAACATGTTTTGATGATCTCAAATATGCACACAACATATACCTGCAAGCTGTAGTATAATTGCAGTTTTGTTTTGGAGGAGGAGTATGCATGACTACTGACAAGAGACCTGATAATAGTATTTCTAATTGTGGGAAGTACCGTACCTAGATACTTAGTAACTTTTGTTGCTTATTAGATTCAGGCACTTAAAGAGATGCAAGAGGTCAGTGTCTTTTGAAGTAGTTGTTCTGTGAATCCACTGCTTTAGTATCTAAATCTGATTTATTTACTTTTTTTATACCTCTAAACATGTCAGTACTCTGCCTATTGCTTCCTACCTACTGCATTTTGATTGCTTCCTTAGAGTGAGTTAGTCAATCATGAAATAAGTTCAGAAGCTACTTTAACATATTAGAAATAATATCTTCATTACCCTATTTTAAAGAGGTCTTGATATTTGAAAATGCTAATTATAAATCTGCTACGTAAATCAGATCATGAAAGACATCTGAAATCCATCACTTACCCAAAAACAAAGTTGTAGGTATCACAAAGAGCTATATTCAGCCCACCTGAAGAGAAATTCTATATTAGATGCCTTTAAGAATACATAGTATAGTTAATTAAAAGTAGTTGTGGATTTGAAAAGA